ACAATGAAAATTAATGCAAAGCAATAGCTTAGAACTTAGCTGTTGGCATCCTTGACAAAGAACGAACATCTATCTGGGAGCCTCCCTGGTGGCACAGGCGATAGTCTCAGCACCATCTGTGGGTCTGCTGCTCCTAGGTAGCCTATTCCGCCACCATTTTGTCACCTAAACAAGGTCAAAGTGGTCCGGCCAGTTAGAAACAGGAGCCCAACCCTTCAGCCCTTCAAATCAAACACGGACACTGTAGAGGCAGGAATGGACACTGAGCAGGTTTTCTATGATCCCATGCAGACCAGGTAAAGGAGGAGTCAGAGTCCTCAGTGGTTTTGCAGGCTTTTATTGGGATTACCAGGTACACGGCAAGCAGGGGTGCTAGGGGGCCGGGAGGCTGGCAGGCCTCCCAGCCCCCAGCAAGTCTTCACTCTATCAGGGCTCTCCGGCGTTCTCTGCTTCTCTCTCGGCTTCTGCTACTTCTTTCTCGGCTTCTTGGCTTCTACTGGCGTCCCCGTGACGCCGCCCTTAAAAGCACAGTCTTAGCCCAGGTGAATCCCATCTACTTATGCCCACACCCTACTCCAGGTGCCCGCCATCAGGCATGCATTCAGGACCGCGAGGACCCATCATCTATCCTGATGGTGGGAGGGCAGAAAAGCCTGGCATTTTTTCTTTACCCTACAGACACAAAGCTGGATCACACTGGGAAGGTTATGCATCACAAGGTATGTCCGGAATGCCCGGGGGTCTGAGGAACGATGCATAACACATACTCCCCACTTATACATCACGAGGTATGACCGGGAATGCCCAGGGGGCCGAGGACCGATGTATGACAAGGGACCCCAGAAGCTGATCAGTGGAGCACCTTGTTGATAAGATTAGAACCATGGCTGGGGATTAGGGTGTGTCATCAAGTGGATTAGAAGTGCCTGGAGGGCAGACTCACAATCCCTAATCTTCTACACCCTTCCCCTTTCTTTAATCTCCTTACAACCAATTACGTGTGTCAATAAAAGGGCCAGGATCTTGCTCTTCAGCAGCATCCTGCATTGTGCAGCCTGCTCCATGACTCCTGCTTGTCAGTGTGGTGTTGTCCGACGCAACAACCATCAAGCTATCACCAGCCACTGCGGCCTGAGTTTGATCCCTGGCTAGGGAGCTACCCACATGGCGCCACAGACCTCTCCTGCCTCGCCGCTGCTCCCCTCAGAAGTGTATTTCTGTTCCCCACTCTGTCTCTGGTGAATCCTCTCACCCCCCGCACCTCTGGCCTATACCCCAGTTCTTCTATGCATAAATCTTTTTTTTTTTTTTTGAAGAACAAATGTCTGTAGGGAATGACAGGGCAGAGGAGAGCAGTCTTAAGTCTCCAAGGGGCCTACTGTGGGAAGGTCAATATACGGGAGGCACAGATGGAGTGAGGTTTGTTTGCAGATTCCTCTGGTCTTTAGAAAAAGGAGAATTTATATCTTGCCTTTAGGCAGAAGAGGGGAGGGTAAAGAGAACTTTTCCCATGTTTGCTGCTGCTTAATTTCTTTCAGCTAAAAATAATTTTTTGTCAAAATGTATTTTGGGGTGACATTTTTCTGGTTCCCTTTAGCTGCTCTGGGGAAACCTGACTAGCCTGGGGTCACAGGTCTGTCTCACTTCTCACCCAACCCTCTTACCACAAGAATGGGTCTGAGAATGAATCCAGAGCAGGTCACAGTCCACCACAAGGGGGCCTTGCAGACCAGTTTAATGACTGACTTTCTGGGCAAAGGAACAGCCAGGGGAAGGTTTAAACAAAGGAGCGCCAAGATCTGACTCATACTTCATTTTTTATCTTTAAACTATTTGCAATTTTTAATTTTTTTTTCAGTTTGAAGATCAGTTAAAGCATTTTAGCGTGTTATACACATGACTCACATGTGCAATTTTTAGAAACATCCAATTAAGTATAAGATTTAAGAAATTCTATAAATGTATATGTTGACTTTTACTACACATACGACTAAGAAAGCAATAATTCTGGTGTGCCACTAAGTGTGAATCATTTATTACACAGCAGGTTTACAGCACCTCTAAAGAGAACCAAACCAATTTCAGAAAGCAACATTGAATGATTTGGTCATGCTGAAACTGTCGAGAGACTTAAGATCTGGTGGTCAAACGAAGCTATTTAACTAAGCTGTAACTAAGCAGTTCAAACCTATGGGAAAAGTTCATGCTGACTCGACTTTAAGGCTCACTCTAGCTCCAGGCAGAGATAAGTAGTCCAAGGAGGTTCTCATAAGCTCATCTGGCTGGATGGTGGTACATTAGCAAACCTCGACTCAGAGACGGTACTTAAAGCTGTCAGGCAGGATGAGCTCTCTGAGGAATGAGTGTAATCAGGACAGGAAGGACTATAATAGAATCCTGAACTCTTCTTAACTTAGAGGTAAGAGAGGAGGAACCAGGCAGGAACAAGCAGTTGGTGAAGTAAGGGAATTCCAGAGAGGGTCCTGTCCTGGAAGTCAAGTGCAAAAATTGTATAAGAAGGGCCTCCCTGGGGCCTCCCCGGTGGCGCAGCGGTTGAGCACTGGGCTGCGAAGCTGCCCGCGGCCTCTGCAGTGCCGGTTCGATCCCCGGCTGCTCCCCGGCCACTGGAGGAGGGTCCCACATGGCGCGCAGACCTCTCCTGCCGCCCGCTGCTCCCCTCAGCAGTGTCCTTCGGTCCTTCTGCCTGCTCTGCTCCCCGCTCTGGCTCTGGTGAATTCTCTCACCCTCCCGCACTAAGGACTGTGACGATGCTGGGTGACCATCACTGCTCTAGTTTCCAAAACTTCTTTGTCTTTGTCCCCCCCAACATAAACTGTCTGTACCCATTAAACACTAACTCCCCACTCCTTCTCCCTCTGGCTCCAGCCCTGGGTGATCCACAGTTAATTTTCTGTTTCTGTGAATTTGCCTGTTTTAGGCCCTTCATGTAAGTGGAATCAGGTTTGTCTTTTGTCTGGGTTATTTCACTATTCTTTTTTTCTTAAGAATTTATTTTTATTTGTTTATGCATACATAAACTAGGGTATAGGCCAGAGGTGTGTGCATGGTGTGTGTGTGCGTGTGTGTGTGTGTGTGAGAGAGAGAGAGGATTCACCAGAGATAGAGTGGGGAGAAAGAACAGGCAGGATCCACTGAAATACACTGCTGAGGGCACCAGAGGGCGGGACAGCAGATGTTTGCTCCACCATGTGGGTCAGCTTGCTGGCTGGGGATTGAACTCACGCCCCAGTGGCTGGTGGTAGCTTGATAGCCCTGAGACTTTAACCCTGTTCAACCAGGTGAATCCTCTCACCCTCCCGCGCATCTGGCCTGTACCCCGGTTCTTGTATAAAAGTAAATATTTTTTAAAAAAATTCTGCTAAGGGGCCTCCCTGGTTGAACAGGGGTTAAAGTCTCAGGGCTATCAAGCTACCACCAGCCACTGGGGCGTGAGTTCAATCCCCAGCCAGCGAGCTGACCAGGCAGACTGAAGAAATACACTGCTGAGGGGAGCAGCGGGCAAGACAGGAGAGATCTGCCGCACCATGTGGAATTCTCGCCAGCCGGCCGGGATCGAACTGGCGCTGCAGAGGCCGCGGACAGCGTCACGGCGCGGCGTTCAACCGCCTGCACCACCAGGGAGGCCCCAGCAGAATGTTTTTGAAGGCCCATTCATGCAGTAGCAGATTCTAAAATATTTGCTCCTTGTTATGGCTGAATAATGTGCCTTTGTATGTGCACACACATTTATTCATCTATCGATGGACACTTGGGTCGTTTCTACTTTTTGGGTAGCTGTGAATAATGCTGATATAAACACTGATGTACAAACATCTGGCCTATCCCTGCCTTCTTTGTATTTATACCTAGGAATGGAATTGCTAGGTCATGTGGTAGTTCTAGATTTAACTTTTCAAGGAGCTGCCAAACTGTTTCCACAATGATTGTACCATTTTATATTTGCACCAGCAATGAAGGATGATTCCAATTTGTCTACATCCTCAATACTCACCCCACCCCCAATGTCTCTCTCTCTCTGTGTCTCCTCTCTCTTTCACAGCCATCTTAGTAGGTTTGCAGCGGTATCTTGTGTTTTTGATATACATTTCCATAATGACTAATAATGTTGATCATCTTTTCACATGCTCATGGCCATTTGCCTATTTGGAGAAATGTTTGTTACAGGGCAACCCGTGTAACAGAGACAACGGCCTCGCAGCAGCTCCTCTGTCTCCCATGCCCCTGGATTCTAGAAGGGCCCCAGGGCACCCGCCAAGACTATAGGTCAGATCAGCTGCTCTGAAGTCTTGCCTGTGTGGTGTCTGTGGACATCTGAGGTCGCCAGGATGCGGGGACAGAGCTATTCCCACCAGAGCGAGAATTGTCAGAGGTCTTAGTGCTCGCTCAGGAAATGCTACCACCAGCTGTACTAATTCCGAGTCTCTGAATTGAAAAGTGAAGCTGCTAAGCATCCGCATGGACCTCAAGATGTAACTGGGTGAAAAGGCTACAGCCAGAAAGGAGTAACCAAAGACCAAGACAGCAGTCGCTTCCTCCAATAATCCTCAGTAATGAAGTATAACGAGAAAAAGATCACTTGCACAAAAACAAAAAAAATTAGAGACTACCCAAGTGTTGGAAAAAAAAAGAGTACGTCCTAGATGGGGGTGGGGGAATAGAGGGAAGAAGAGACAGTTTTAATTGAGAACAGACTGAAACATTCAAATAAATAGAAACCCAGGATAAAGTTCTTTCTAGAAAGATTCTTTATTTCCTTTTGTACGTCCCACTCCAAGTTATTCCTTAAAGGACTGACAGGACCTTTTGAAATTTTATTTGCAGATATATGTATATGTATATTATATGTGTTATTATGTGAGCAGAACGGCAACCAACAGCATCTGAAGAAGAGTCACATCCTTGCACGGCAGCAGGCAGAGGGGTCGTGGGGTCGCCCGCAGGTCAGGTGTGGCTGCTGGGGCCGGGGAAGCAGGGGTGGGTGCGGGGTGAGAGAATGGGCTCAGAATGCTTCTGCTTATTTCCTGATGGCAAAAATGCTTTGGAAATCCTCCTCAAATTGTTTCTCCAGTTGGAGTCCCAGATTGAGGGAATTCTTTTCCTGAAAAGTTCAAGCACGGACAGATGTGGTCACAGCCAGGGCCAGTGAGCTGGGCTCTGAGGTTCAGAGCATCCAACTCTTCATCAAGTGAGAGTAACTTACATTCCCTACAGCACGGTCACTTCTCGGTGGAGAGGCAGTCTAACTCTTCCCCAGAAATTTAGTGATGGGATCATCTTAAAACTTCTAGTTATTTCAATTAACACAGCACATGTTACTGTAACAACATGATAGCACAGAAACATCCAGAGCACATTCAGGGCCTCTGTCTTCCTACTTTCTTTATTTTCACCCCTTGAGGTAACAATCCTTGTTAACTTTTTGATAAACACTAGAAATCCAGATGTAAAGAAATCCAAGATTTTGAAATTTGAGAAATTCGATGGAAACAAAACACTAGCTGCCTGTTTTTCCCAGTTTACTTTTCTAAATTTCTTTTGCAAAATTGGAAACCTGTTTAATATAAAAGATTGCTGTTCTCAAAGTGTTATTTCCAAGTGAATTTTAGAAAATGAGGCTTAGATCTTCAAAACATGATCAAGGACAGGAGGTGCTCGTTGCCTTTAACATGCACTTCCCTTTCCTGTGAGGAGCTGGTCTGAGTCACTGGACCATCCAGAAGTGAGGAAACTCTGAGGCCAGGATCCTGCTTGCAAGGACAACTTCCCTCTGCAGGTGCTTTCTCCTTCCCAGAGGGCGGGGCTTTAGACACCTCCAGAATATTTAATTGTGTGTGTGGGTTTGCCACCGGCTGAGGGGAGTTGTAACATTTCCAGGTTGCAAGAAGGTGACAGGCAAAGTGACTTAATGGAAAGGAAAAGCGTAGCCGAGAGACCCACTTACCCTGTGATGTTCCCTGTGGTTCTGAAAGACGAGGCGCATGTCCAGCACGAATGTCTCCACGCGGGAGTATAAGTTATTGTAAAACTTTTGCCGGATTTTGTTTAACCACATGAACTTTCTCTTGCCTTGAGATAACTGTTCACTCTGTGACAAAAGGGCCAGGGGAGGCCTATTAGCAGGTTTCAGTCCTGCCTTCCCTGCTCCCCTGCTATGGACTGAGTGGGCGTGTCCCTGCCCCCCACTCCACACGATGGAATCCTTGCCCCAGTGTGGTGGTGTGAGCGGGTGGGAGATAATAAGGTCACAGGGTTGGGGTGCTCAGGATCCTAATTAGTGCCCGTAGAAAGACACCCCGACAGTTCTCTCTCCCTCTCTTTCCCCCATCTAAGGAGGCATGAAATGTCCACAGTCTGTAGCCTGGAAGAGGCTCTCCTGACTGCCAGGCACGCCAGTCCTGACCTTCCAGTCTCCAGCACTGTGAGAAATAACTGTCGGTTGTTGAAGCCACCCAGGCTGTGGTACTTGTGATTACGGCCAGAGTGTGAAGGGCTGGCTCAGCTGCCTCAGCCACCCACCAACCAGGCACAGCCAATTGGCGATTTGTACCCCGGGAGTCGTGCCACAAAGCTGAGAAACACCAATTCCAAGCTTTGTTGCTGTTACTTACATTATCGGGGTTGGAGATTAAAGAGCTTCTTGGTGAACTTGAAAAGATCTTCAAGAGGAGGAACTGACATTTCTGCAAAAGAGAGAGGAGATTTTAAGTGACAGCTGTTGGGAGAGAATGACTCCTCGTGCCCCACAGATCACACAACTCCCCAACCTGGGTCCTGAGTGTGAGTCTCTGGGCGTGAGTGTCTTCGGGGCATGTGCCCCAGGCACAGCAGGGTGAGCAGTCGACCCGCGGGCACCCTCCAGAGCCACCTGGGCTTCTGGCCTGGTGGAAACAGAAAGAGGAGGCTTCCGCTTCCCTGCCCAACTCACCAACTTGTCCACGCCCGTCATTGGCCTCTTTAGGACCTCGGATTCCTTATGGCGTTGCTGGGTTTCTGGGGAACTTCTCTGAATCTTCCTTATCTGGCACAAGATGCAACTCCAGGGTTCCCTGGGAAGTCAGGGGAGAAGTGAGCCAGGATGGTTGCGCTGGACTCTGCTGCTGCTCCTGCAGGTGCTGCGGTTTCTGTTCAAAAATGACTGAGTTTGCCCCATTCCTGCTTCCCTCTGGAGGCCTCTGCATCAAGCCCCCATTCGGGCTCCCTGGCTACAGATTCCTTCCCTCTCCCCCCACTCTAGTGCTCACAGGATTGACAGGCTGTTGAGTGAGGTGCACAGTGGGGAGGGGCCCTGACTCATCTCAACATTGAGGGTTCCCACCAGCACCACTGCAGCCTGGTGATGAGCCCCGTTCCCCAGAATGAGGACGGAAGTGAGGCCCGTGGGGACTGGAGTTCTGGGTCTTGCTGAGCATCAGACCAGGGTACAGCCAGGAAACCAACTCTTGTTTCTCTACTTTGCCGGAGAAGCGGGGAGCCCAAGTGACAGGCCTCAGTCTCTGCCATGCCTGTGTTGACACCTAGAATCTGTGCTGTGGCGCCTCTCGGGGAGGAGACCCACCAGCGGAGCATCTCGTCTTCACTTGCCCCCGACTCAGCTCCCACTCTCCTCCACCAGGCGCTGGACAACCGCGTGGGGATGATCCACCTTGAGGATGTCATTCAGCCTGTTTCCTGGCCAGCCCAGGGCTGCTCAAGGGGGTCCCCGATAAAGTGTCCATGGTGTTAGGGTGAAGACTGTCCATGGACTCAAGAAAAGAGGGGTCTATCCTCTGCCTCTGCAGATTTCTAAGCTGTAGGGGGTGTGGATTGTTGAACCCCGGAGTTGGCCTCATTCCCTGGGAACTGGTGGGAGCAGGCAGATCACACTGGGTTCTTCCCCTTACGAGGAGGGGTGCTCTGTGCTTGTAGGGGCAGACACAAGCTGTGGGGATGACCTTCTGAAGGTTGTCACTGCCCCAGCTTTTTCAGTTTTGTGATGTTCAGCAGGTCACATATGCTTTAAACTTGCAGTTGATTCTGGTGTCATCCCTCATCAAAGAATGTGGGTCTGGAAACCAAGCAGGAAGGTGGTGACTCCTCTTTCTGTTGCACCTAATATGACTAGTAGAGATTTCGCTTCCTGGGACGCGGCTCCTGCCAGCACCGAGAAACAGCTCTGGACCATGTTTCTTGATCCTGATGCTTAAGCACCTGCTCCCTCCACACTGAGACACACAGACCGAGGCTGAGACTTTGCAGGCCAAGCGTGCACGGCGGGAAGAGCTGCAGCATAAGAAGAAGAGCAAGAAAGTCTCACCCACCCGCTGGAGTCTGTTTGCTGGATGTGGCATTTCTGGTGAAAGGACCTTGGGCAAGTGTCACAGCAGAAGAGCAGTCCAGGTCCACGGCACACTTCACATATGTTTCTGTTTTCTGCCTGAGGGGAGATAAAGCAGATCCCAGAGGATCAGTGAGTCCGGGGAGGTCAACGTGCTGCAACTCTAGACATACGGCTTGGGGTTGGCCACAGCACCAAAATGCTCGTGCCAAAGTGACTCCGAAGAATACTAAGGAACAACACTGAGCAGAGATTTCAGGTTCAGGCTGAGTGTTTCACTGGAAGTTTTCTCTGTGAAGACAGATCTGATGAGGTCATGACAACAAAAAGGATGAACTATATATGATCTGAAAAATGTAATATTCTGCTGGCCAAACTTGACTTAGGAGTACAGTATCTAATTTCTCTTCCCTGCATGATCTTTTTTTTTATTTATTTTTTTTTATTTTATAGAGGCATGTTTTATTTATTTATTTATTTTGTTTGTTTGTTTTGTTTATACAAGCACTGGGTACAGTCAGAAGCGTGGGAGGGTGAGAGAATTCACCAGAGCCAGAGCGGGGAGCAGAGCAGGCAGAAGGGCCGAGGCACACTGCTGAGGGGAGCAGCGGGCGGCAGGAGAGGTCTGCGCGCCATGTGGGACCCTCCTCCGGTGGCCGGGGAGCAGCCGGGGATCGAACCGGTGCCTTAGAGGCCGCGGGCAGCCTCGCAACCCAGCGCTCAACCGCTGCGCCACCGGGGAGGCCCCCTGCATGATCTAAATGGACTCACTGAAGTGTGATTTATTGAGAATTTTAAAAAGATGGAGTAAAATTCGGAGATGTCCCTGTAACCCATTTTCTTGAGCCTAAGTCCCCTCTGAGATGAAGGGCTTGGGATCGGAAGGAGGCCTATGAGGAAGGGCAAGAGATAGTCGACCCAACTGATTACCTCAGACTGAGTCACCCTTCACACCCTAGGACAGGGTAGAGATGTTTGTCTTAATAAACAGATCACATGACATGTTTCTCCACAAAACCCAGCGGCTGTGGTACCTGGTTATGCTAATAAAGTGAGTGGAGACTGTAGCCTCAGAAACCAGCTTTGTGAAGACACAACTTGCTGGCGTGGGGGAGACGGCCAAGATCTCCTATGTCAGAGATGAGGAAAATGGAAGAGTCTTTACCACACAGGCTCGCTCTCACGCCCAGCCTTGGAGATGCTGTGGATGGCATCAGCTGCCTCTTTGCCTTCTGTGGAAGCCACACAGCATGGAAACCACCACCCCATGCCCTCTACCTTCTAGTTTGAGAATTTGCCTTCAAAGATGGAACTGAGGTCTGCAGTACCCTCTGGGGTTACAAAGGGACTCCCCGCCAAGGGAAGGGTTTTCTGGGTCAAGCAGCCTCTCCCACAGGGCACACCTGCCTCCCAAACACTCTGTTCTCTATGGTGTCTCCTCCTAAAGGATATGCAAGTCCCCATAAAGAAGGACCCCTTTGGGAAGGACTTGATGTGAGAGTCAGTGCTTGTGTGTGTGTGTGAGTGTGCGCATGTGTGTAGAGAAAAGAAGTACAGTCAGAGGCACGAGAGGGTGAGAGAATTCACCAGATCCAGAGGGGAGAGCAGAGCAGGTAGACTGACAAAGTACACTGCTGAGGGGAGCAGTGGGCGGCAGGAGAGGTCTGCGCACCATGTGGGACCCTCGCCCAGTGTCCGGGGATCGAACCGGCGCTGCAGAGGCTGTGGGCAGCCTCGCAATCCAGCGTTCAACTGTTGCGCCACCGGGGAGGCCCTCAGGTGTGCATTATTAAAAAGCCAGCATGTGTATACACTACATTAAGTCCCCACTAAAAGCCAAGTCCATCTTTCCCTGTTCCGTGGACTCTTTCATCCATTTACTACTCTGTAACATGTGGTCCCCAGGAAAGGGGGAGGTTCCAGATTCCCTGCCCCACCCAAGGGAGGGTGGAACTGAGCAGGGAAAGAAGCTGCAGAGGAGACTGAGAAAGGAAGCAGGATGGAGAGCAAGAAGGAGACCTGGAGGAGACGCATGGAGCCTAGAGACACGTGAAGAAGCTGCGCTTGCCTTTTGGTCGTGGACGGGGTGACACAGATGTGGGTGAGACCCGTGGGGAGGTGACCATGGCAGCTTTTATCTTGATGTTGATTTTGCTCTTTTCCTTCCGGGCTTGTCTGGTTGTTTCTGACCCTTTTCTGGGGGTCCCCACTGGAAGATGCTTTGGACTTGAGGCAGGCTTTGGGGCCTTGCTCTGGGCCAATCCCATTTGGATGGAGTTTTACCCACGAGGGGACGGGTGACTTTGGGTGCTTCATTTAGAAACTAGACTCTTTGCCTTTCCTGTATTGTTTCCTAATTATATTAAAGTTCCTTCCCATTAAAGTCTCCTATGTTTTGTGTTGATGCGGCGGATGGCAGAACCCATTTAGAGCAGGCAGGTTTGCGGGGTTTGGGCTGCCCCCCTCCCTGCCCTGTAACACCTCCTTTTCCCCTTTCCTTCTGCTGAGCACGCATTGGACTCACAGTCTAAAAGTTTACTTTTGTTTTATTTAGTTCATTCATTTTTTAGCTTCTCTGTTTATCACATATGGACGAACTCTTATGGTGTTTGCCTTCCTTGTCTGACTTATTTCACCAAACATAATCAGTATCCTCTAGATCCATCCATGGTATTGCAAATGGCAGGATTTGATATTTTTTGTACAGTTGAGTAATAGTCCATGGTGAAATATATATATACCTCACATCTTCCTTATCCATTCACTGTGTATAGACACTTAAATTGTTTCCTGTTCTTGACTATCATGAATCATGCTACAGGAAACATGGGAAATTAGTGCCTTTGTATTTTTCAGGTAAATACCTAGAGATGGGATAACTGAATTGTCTATATTTTAATTTTTTGGGGGGCATCTCCATTTTTCTTTCCTTGATGGCTGCACCAATTTACATTCCCAACATCTTCTTCAACACTTGTTTCTTATCTTTTGGTTACCAGAATAATACTGGGTGTCATTTGCCATTCTCACAGGTGTGGGGTGAAAGCTTTTTGTTGTTTTTGATTTCCCTCATCATAAGAGATGAAGAATACCTTTCCATGTCTCTTGGCACCTGCCTGTCTTCTTTGGAGAAGTATCTATTCAGATTCTCTGTGGAGCAACTTTTCTTATATCATTAAAGGTAGAACCCCCAAAAATCTATGAGATAACAGTTAGTGTAGCAAAGACAAGAGTGGTTAGAGGTGCTGTTTGGGGCTTACACAATCACGCTTTTCCACCCCACCCCTGACTTTCTGTTTAATTTGAAGATACTATTGTCCATATCTTTATCTAAAACAAACATATAAAGTTAGCTCTGTCTCATTTATTTTTAAGGATCATCCCCACCTCTAACTCAAGTGTTAGTCTGGACTGTTAGTGAAGTCCTAGTCTCACACACTATGATGTTTGAGCAGCAAATGTAAAAGCACCTTATTATAAAATCAAATTGCATTATGATTGATGAATTTAGAAGCCATAAGTTAAGGCCAGAGAGATGGAAAATCAACATATGATAGATGACATTGACAGAAGGCCATGTTATAATTACCTGTTTTCTTCTTCTTCTTGGTGGGTTTGGTAGACAATTTTCCTGGAAGAGAAACAAGGTTAATGCTGTGATGGGCCATTTTTTTTTTTTAATAGAGGCATGTTTTATTTATATGTTTGTTTGTTTGTTTGTTTATACATGCACTGGGTACAGTCAGAAGCGCGGGAGGGCGAGAGAATTCACCAGAGCCAGAGCGGGGAGCAGAGCAGGCAGAAGGACCGAAGTACACTGCTGAGGGGAGCAGCGGGCGGCAGGAGAGGTCTGCGCGCCATGTGGGACCCTCGCCCAGTGTCCGGGGATCGAACCGGCGCTGCAGAGGCTGTGGGCAGCCTCGCAATCCAGCGTTCAACTGTTGCGCCACCGGGGAGGCCCTCAGGTGTGCATTATTAAAAAGCCAGCATGTGTATACACTACATTAAGTCCCCACTAAAAGCCAAGTCCATCTTTCCCCGTTCCGTGGACTCTTTCATCCACTTACTCACTCTGTAACATGTGGTCCCCAGGAAAGGGGGAGGTTCCAGGTTCCCTGCCCCACCCAAGGGAGGGTGGAGCTGAGCAGGGAAAGAAGCTGCAGAGGAGACTGAGGAAGGAAGCAGGATGGAGAGCAAGAAGGAGACCTGGAGGAGACGCATGGAGCCTAGAGACACGTGAAGAAGCTGCGCTTGCCTTTTGGTCATGGACGGGGTGACACAGATGTGGGTGAGACCCGTGGGGAGGTGACCATGGCAGCTTTTATCTTGATGTTGATTTTGCTCTTTTCCTTCCGGGCTTGTCTGGTTGTTTCTGACCCTTTTCTGGGGGTCCCCACTGGAAGATGCTTTGGGCTTGAGGCAGGCTTTGGGGCCTTGCTCTGGGCCAATCCCATTTGGATGGAGTTTTACCCACGAGGGGACGGGTGACTTTGGGTGCTTCATTTAGAAACTAGACTCTTTGCCTTTCCTGTATTGTTTCCTAATTATATTAAAGTTCCTTCCCATTAAAGTCTCCTATGTTTTGTGTTGATGCGGCGGATGGCAGAACCCATTTAGAGCAGGCAGGTTTGCGGGGTTTGGGCTGCCCCCCTCCCTGCCCTGTAACACCTCCTTTTCCCCTTTCCTTCTGCTGAGCACGCATTGGACTCACAGTCTAAAAGTTTACTTTTGTTTTATTTAGTTCATTCATTTTTTAGCTTCTCTGTTTATCACATATGGACGAACTCTTATGGTGTTTGCCTTCCTTGTCTGACTTATTTCACCAAACATAATCAGTATCCTCTAGATCCATCCATGGTATTGCAAATGGCAGGATTTGATATTTTTGTACAGTTGAGTAATAGTCCATGGTGAAATATATATATATACCTCACATCTTCCTTATCCATTCACTGTGTATAGACACTTAAATTGTTTCCTGTTCTTGACTATCATGAATCATGCTACAGGAAACATGGGAAATTAGTGCCTTTGTATTTTTCAGGTAAATACCTAGAGATGGGATAACTGAATTGTCTATATTTTAATTTTTTGGGGG